TTATAAGTGATTGTCAAAATTGCAGTACCCAAGCATACGAACCAAATATTCGCTTTGATTTTTCGAAAGCCAACTTCAAAATGCTTAACAAAGAACTATCTAAATTGTCGTGGCCTGCATTTAAAGAAAATATTGAACAAAGCGTTGCACTTTTTAACTTTACTTTACATAAATTATTGGCCTAAACGCACGTATGTTCCTGAAGAGCAAACACAGTTATGGTTCACTAAAGAACTGAGAAATTTGAAAAACAGAAAGTCGCGTTATTTTAGATTACACAAAAAAACCGGTTTACACTCATACTATGTAAAATACTCACTTTTGCGTCATAAGTTTTTTGAATTAAACAAAAAAGTGTTATAAAGCTTACTTGTGTAAAATCAAACGGCATATAATATATAACCCCAAATCATTTTATGACTTCGTAAACTCCAAGCGAAATGTACGTGGGTTTCCTTCCGCCATGAAGTATCAAAATACCGTCTCTAGTGATAATCAAGCAATTTCTAACATGTTCGCTCAGTTTTTTAAATCCCATTATTCCATTAACTCACATGCTAACATTGACTATCCTTTTAAACTATGTCCAATGAACTCAATAAATATCCCAGTAATATCTCCCGATGATGTAGTAGTTTATCTGAAATCCTTAAAGCAGTCCTTCAGTTATGGTCCTAACCAGATCCCTACTTGTATTCTTATAAGTTGTTCTTATTATCTCTATGAGCCGTTAACAGCGTTATTTAATTTATCTCTTAAAGAGGGCGTTTTTCCTACTATATGGAAGGAATCGTTCATAACCCCGTTACATAAAAGCGGTAGCAGATCTTCAGTGGAGAACTACCGGGGAATAGCTAAGCTTTCTGCAATTCCTAAATTATTTGAAGCAATTATAACAAATCAGTTGACGCATTCTATCTCTTCTAGCATTTCATATAGTCAACATGGATTTTGCAAGGGCAAATCAACTTCTACAAATTTACTTGAATTAACATCCTATATCTCAAAAGCATTTAGTGAAAGCAAATCTGTTGATGTTTTATATACGGATTTCAGTAAAGCATTTGACAAAGTGTGCCACTCGTTGCTCATCTACAAACTTGATCTTCTTGGTCTTCCACCTAATTTTCTACGTTGGATCTCTTCATACCTCTATGATAGATCACAAAGGGTAATGTTTAAAAATACTATCCCTGACGTCATTGATGTTACTTCAGGAGTCCCTCAAGGTAGCCACCTAGGCCCGGTTCTGTTCTTGCTTTTTATAAACGATATTTCTACAGATATACAATTTTCCAAAATTTTAATGTATGCAGATGATGTAAAGCTTTATAAATCGTACGTATCTTTGCTACAATCAGACTTAGACAGCATGGCTTACTGTGTCAAGTAAATCTTATGCCTCTAAATCTTAAGAAATGTAAAGTAATGAGCTTCCCGCGAAGAGCTGTTCATCCCGCTTCTTATACAGTAGGTAACCATAACCTGGAACAGGTATACAATTCTGTGGACCTTGGTATCACAATGGATCCTAAGCTTAATTTTAATCTTCATATTAATGTGACAGTCAACAAGGCTAAAGGTGTACTTGCATTTGTGAAACGATGGTCAAAAGAATTTTGTGACCCTTATATCACTAAAACCCTGTTTACAACATTAGTTAGGCCAATTCTGGAATACGGTTCGGTGGTTTGGAATCCAAGGTATCAAATTTACTCAGACAAGATAGAATCAATTCAAAAACAATTCCTACTTCTTGCTTCAAGAAATTTCCGTTGGGATTCTCAATATAACCTTCCACCTTATACGAGCCGATTAAAACTTATTAATCTTCCTACACTTTCCAGCCGCAGGCAAATGCTTGCTACAATTTTTATAGTTAAATTACTAACAGGCTCAATTTCAAGTCCGCTTCTTCTTGGCGAAGTTATACTATGTCTCCATTGAGAGATTTATCCATTAAGATTTAATAAATCCAGTTGCTAAATCACAACCGTCTCCATTGCCACAACGAGATATGTTTGACGTTCACATTTTTAAATATTTGACGTTTGTTTATGTATGATTTTATAAATACAGTTGCGGACATTGATATACAGACAGATAAAAGGAGAGTACCAAGCGGAATTTCATTATATGAATTCTGAATATTATTGGCTTCTTATTCGTGGTAAATATGTATGTATAATATATAGTTGGGAAAGTGTAAAGAATGGTACCATATTCCGAAACATTTTCCCGAATTTAAGACAAATTATCAAAACGGTAAAAAACATTTGCGGAAAGAAAACTTTTGTAGAACTCTCTTATTCATAGGAGGGAACCGAAAATCCAATCGTGGGCCTTTGGCATATAATGAATACGTACTGAGTTCTAGAGGATGTTCGGTGCAATGTTATCGAAGCAGAACCATTACCTAAATTTATAAATTTTTGGTCGCAGCGCGTAAATGACTTATAGAAAGCACTCCGTTGCTTATGCCAGGATTTTAACTCTCATTCCAGCACGTTTGATATATCAGATCCGCTTTTCAGCATTAAGAAATCGATACTGTCCTCTCTCAATAAATGAATCATTAAAACAAAGACATAAAATCGGCTGATGAATTTAGTTCTGTAGCTGAACAGTTTTAGATCTCGACACTTAACAAACTTTTCGCCTGCGGCGCTTTTTTCATAAAAATCGATGCTTCGATATATAATGAAAATCTCTAATAAAAATAATACAAATGTCGATACTTCGTTTTAAATGAGAATTTTTAACTATTTAGTTCCACATTTATCGCACATAAAGGCTTGTACTGACTTCATAGCCGTGGAATTTCGCCCGCAACATGCATTTGGCATGCCGTGAAACGTTGCTGGCAACATTAATTGTCAAATGAGAAGAAACGTCAAAATGAAAATTGAACAAATGTAAACAAACAAATTTATGAGCATCGCCCGCAAGCAATTAGAAAATTTTGGTAAGAGTAATGTGTTTAAACATAACAATATTACTAATTATATTCTTTTTAACAGCTTTAACTACATTTAGCAGCATTTGGGGAGTTTTGCGAGCTTCCGGCACAACCACTAGCATCCAGAAGAGTAGGTGCATTACCCCAGAAGCAATTACGAAATTTTGGTAAGAATAATGTGTTCAAACATAATAAGATAACTAATTATATTCTTTTTAACAGGTTTAACTACATTTAGCAGCATTTGGGGAGTTTTGCGAGCTTCTGGCACAACCACTAGCATCCATTGCCGGTAAAAATAAATGTATGAAGAAAAAAAATATTTTTTGCCTAAAATATTAAATTTGTTTAAAACTGTTGATTATATAGG